TCCAAAACGGCTGAACTTTTCATAAAACTAATTAGGTATGTGCGTTTAAAAGGTTCTCTGCATGGTTTAGATTCACAAGTTAACCTAGTAAGTGTAAAATCTGATTCCAGGATATTTTGTTATTTTCAGTGCAAAACGTTGGCTCACTAGTAGAAAATAATTATCATTTTTATACACATCAGTGCCGAATGGACAAAATATATGCATAACTTATGCGAAAGACTTTAAGATAAAGAGGAATGTGCAAGAAAAAAGCAGCTGCGTTTAGTATGTACTCACATGATAAAAATAAACCTAAATTAGTTAAAATAAACAAAAAATAATTTAGCTACAACTGCGAACCTTTTATCGGCTTTGACTATATATAATATTATTATTGATAAATAAAATGTAAATCTACTGTATAGTGTGACGACGATCATGCGCAACCTGCCGCATACATAATGTGAATGAATCAACACTACATTTAATTTTATGATCTTTGCTCATTATTGTATTTTGTTTTTCAGACAAAATTATATTTCATATTAACACAATATTAATTTCACTAACGCTCCACGTTTTGCATAGTAAACATTTGATAAATACACCTATCTATCCCAATATACTCCCACCTAATATAGATTTACAATTAAATACACAACGAAGATGTTACATTTCAAAACGCAAAGTATTATTTGGAATCAATACTTTTTAACGTTCAATTTTTACAAGTACTCTTTGCTAACTACAATAATAATTTAAACATTGAAAGCTCTACATAATTATTAAGCAAATTCACGCGTTATCTATTCAATTTTGTATTGCATTCTTTATAACATAGGTAAAGTCAAAATAACTAATTTTAGCAAACAATAAAGATTTTTTATCGATAAATTACTACACAACCAGGCAACAATATACGTAATTATTATGTTCTCACGGTCAAGATAAACGATCTGGCCCACAGCTGTAGCGCGTTGCGAAGTTGGGCGGTTGTCGCGTCTTTCCCCGATTCCCGAGCCGCCCCCGTTCGACGCCACGACACCCACGATTATGACGAAAATCGCCCAATCAAACCAAACTACCGCAACGTACTTTTCCAATATACCGTAATTTCTAACACGAAAATATTTGTACGAAACACGTACAGAGATGATATGGGATGGTACTGAATTACATAAGACATGTGTCTCTTAATCGGTTATCATCAACTCCAAGGGGGACGAGTCAACGTACGCTGTAAATTATTTAATTGGCAATAAACGAGTACGCGTAGCGGGGATACGTATAAATAACTAAGTAGGTGCAACGGCGCACCTGCAAGATCTTTTAGGCTTGAGGCACGGAGTGCGAACTGTGAATGCGACGCGCGTCACTATCCGGCGTCTAGTCGCGTCGCGATATCGATCGCCGCCGGCGGTGGTGAATATACACGTGGCGCGTGGATACGAGCGAGGCCGATACTGGTAGACGCGCGCCTGTACTCTCGCGCGTGCGTACTCTCGCTACAGACAAAATATGCATACCAAAACCGACACAACTCAAGCGGCAAAAATACAACTATTTTTAATTCATTACTAACACGATAATCCCCGCAAATTACTAACGCATCAGACTTTAATTTAATTAATTAGTTTTTGTGATTAAGTATTAATGACATTTTAGAAGGATAAAATTTATAAAACTATTATAATTTATATTATCCCTATTTTATTAATAAGCCAAGCAAATCACAGCAAATCGGAAATCAGGTAGTTATTTTTAGTATTTGGTATTTAGTGAAACTCAATGAACGTGCATTTGGGATAGACACAGCGTGACTCAACCTTGCATCATGACAGCCGTTTATTAGTACCCAACCCTCCTCGCAGAAGCAGATTTTTAGTTGTGTTACGTTGATTGCGTCATTTAAACAAAACTGGGCCAGTGCTTGCCGGACTTCGCACAGGTTTAAGGTTAAATCTAAAAGGTATATAAATGAAAATATCACCCCATAAGTACAGACAGTATGTATGTCTGGCTTAGAAAGTAATCTATATATAACGTATTCCAGCGAAGATTCTAAATATAAATAATCCGTCTGTTGGAGTTGACGAAATTCTTAGGATTCCGTCTTTGGTATATTTCCACAGAACTCTAGAAGAATATACAAATTCTATCACGTTTGAGTGCTTTTACGTCTGGATTCAAGAGCATTACCTCTATAATGTTCCTTTTTAAATCATTAAAGCGTTGATCTAATTTTATACTATAACGATTTGCATGATGAAAACTTCAAATTAAAAAGAAATAATTATTTGAGACAGGCTTTGTACTGATTGAGACTAGGCCGCATGTCTCACGGTGGGTGGCATTACATTGTAATGTCTACGGACTTCGACAGCTGTTTAACACCCGGTAGGCAGTGTATTTGTTCACGTTTAAGCAAATAATCGAACTACATATAAAGACCTCTATCAAAGACATTTCTCCTCGATCTTCCATTTAAATAGTTCAAGGGCTGACCGTCTAAGTTTAGCTCAAAAATTTAAATATTAAATCAAGATTTCTAACATCTTTTATGGAAAGATCTTTGCAAGGCGTCAACATATTTGCTGTTCTTGTTTCTTGTTCCAGTTATGCCATTTAGATAAAACTTACCAAACAAATCATCTGCGTTGCGCTAAACAATCAGAATATTTACAGTAAGTTTATGATAAAGCTTCAAAAATAGGAGTGGTGTGTTACAAACGAGACAGCACGCCATATTCATAATGCTAAAGGCCATGGACATTTGACAATCAACCTTTCCTTTCCATTTAAAGGATAACGTTTACAAATCTCATGAGAGCCTATTTGTATTCAACTAATGTAAAATATCTTGGTCACAATTTTTTTTCGGAAAATTAGAATTCATCATTCATTAAATTCCCGTTTATCTACTAGTTTAGGTCGTATTGTTGCGCAAAGCGTCCGTCGGGTCGAGAACTTGCGCAGCTGTTAGTCTAATCAATAATTTTGTCTGCATCTCGTTTTTTGTCAAACGACCCCACGTTTGTAGCTTGTGTAATTCAAATAGGTGCATTATACTTAAGATTAGAAAGCACCATATGTCACGACAAGGTCATCTAAATATCCACTGTAATAGCTCGGTGCACGAAATATTGAGGAATACCGAAGATATTAGGTTGGTGCATGTGAAATATCGGATTTAAGAGATTAAATAAATTAAAATGTAAAGTTTTGCAGCACCCCAGCATAGTAGACTTTACTTCTAGTTTTTTTTAAGTCGTCGCGGCCTAAAATATATGACGTCCGGTGCATTCGTATCTTGCGATGCACCGGTGGTCGAATCCCGCAGGCAGGTACCAATTTTTCTGATGAAATACGTACTTCACAAATGTTTACGATCGGCTTCCACGGTGAATGAATAATCGTGTAATAAAAATCAAACTCGCAAATTTATAATTTGCGTATTTACTGGTGGTAGGACGTTTTGGGGGTCTTATGGGACGTTGTAGATGTCTATGGGCTCCAGTAATCATTAACACCAGATGGGCTGTGAGCTCTAAGCAATAAAAAAGTTCTGATCAAAGAAAAAATATTGATAGTCATTAATATTTAAACATTTTAAATTTACATTAGGGTTACAGTAGGATTTTGGCAAATGATCACGAGGTCACTGAATGCATACTTTAGTATAAAATGCCCTGAACGTGTGAGGAGAATACGATGAAGTAAGGCACAATACTACGGCGATAAAAGTGGCGCATGATAGTCACGATGAAAAGAAGCTTTAGGAGTTCGATTAAAGAAACTTTGAAGTTAAAATTTAGTTAGAGAAAGTTTAATTAAAGAATTTTGAAGTCGTCATGGCCTATAAGACGCCCGGTATTAATGCACCGGCAATCGTACGATGCGACTGTCCCGGTGTTCAAATGCTACAGGCGGTATTAATATTTTTAATGAAATACGTACTTAACAAACGTTCACAAATGAGTTCCACGGCGAAGGAATAATATGGCATAACAAATTTGCATTATTACTGGTGGTACTGGTAGGTCATCTTGTGAACCCGTACGGGTAGGTACTACCACCCTGCCCATTTCTGCCATGAAGTAATGCGTTTCGGTTTGAAGGTTGGAGTAGCCGTTGTACTGTCCGCGGAGACGGGCGTCCTCGGGGTGGCGCCGCGAATCTATTTGTAGTGTTGACCGCGAGAGCCTCCCTACTCTGACCAGATTCTGACCCAGGATGGAGATCGGACGTCGGGTGTAAGAGTGCAGGGGAGTCGTTTAGTGCGATAGGGCCCTAAAATTCCTTGGGCACGCGGTCTTGTTCTAACAACTGCAGATCGTCAAGTCTCACATACCCCGCGCGCCCCCTATGCGCGGGGACCCCATACGAAGCTCGGCCCGAAAAAAAACCCGTTCTACTGTAAAAAGTGAGACTCACATGTCTTACATTACTTAAGACACAATGTGGGTGGCAGTATTGATGTTGATTCCTTGGGGTTCGGTGACTACTTAACCAGGTAGACCGTGAGCTCGTCCCCTCATTGTACCAATTAAAGAAAGTGTGCAAATTTTCAAATAAATCTGAAATCTTGAAGATGCTAAACATAACATTAAATATTCCGCTACCTACCGCCCAATAAATATTTATTATATGTAAGGAACAATTACGGAAGCCGGAATAGTAAGTAATATAAATTACCTCAACATAAACGGAAATAGAACTTATCGTCGCACAGTCGTAAAACCACAATCTAATGCGAATGCAGCTTCAAATGAGAACGTTGAACCTGCACGTTAGCTGATTATTAATTTCATTTACATTACCGACATTGCAAAAAGTATTAGTAAAAGTTAATATTGCCGAAGAAGATTTATGTTTCTCGTATTTATGTTTTCGAAGCAGGTTTACGCTATGAAAACATTCACACTGAATACAAATATTAACATAAACAATAATTCTAATAGTATAAATATTCAGTTAAAATCCCTTGTTACGTTACAAAATTTATAAATCGTACTTACGGAAGTAATTGAGCGTCTCCCTGATCTGGTCAGGTGTTAGTTCCAAGTCCGCAGAGCTGACTGGCAGCGCAGGCGATGGAATGAACCAATCTTGATTTTCGTATCCTGAAAAAAGGACATAACATAAGTATTTCATAGGTTAAACGTTCGTAAACAAAAATTGTTTTCATAGAAGTTAAATAATTCCATTCCAAGAGGTACCGAATTAAACCAATGTTTAAAAAAATGCAATTAATAAAAAATCAGTAAATTATCTGGGCGATAAACAAAGCAAGATTGTATTTGCCCTTCGGTCCGCTCGCAATCTACTATGTTTATATTATAAACACAATAATATCTGTATCAGATTCAGCTCATTGGTTTATGTACTATTATTTCACAACATTCCAATAGATGGCGCTACTTATATTAGCTTTAAGAAAATTCTTACTGTACAATATTTTTTTTCAATGACGAGTAAACTGATTTAAATCAAGCTAGGGTTTAATTAATAGGTATGCTCTCGCAAGAGGCATGTTAAGCAATCCTTTATCATTCTTCAACACCAGACCGAAACTTAACTGAACGAAAACAATACCGCATGAATTACGAATTTTAATTGCTTTTGTTTTCAGTTACGTAAGGTTCTTGTCTGTTTGCAATAACACATTTTTAGTTTATCGCATCGCATACATTTATTTAATGTACAATATCCATTTCAATTCACTGAACAGGTCTATTACGAGTATATAAAATATGTAAATTAATTGGTTTTACAAATTTTAAAATAGCTGTCGAATAATAACATATCCACGTAGTGTATCATGTAGTGAGTCACAGCGTAGAACAGAAAAATAAAGTCTCCCATTCAATTGGTGTGGGGCCAGTACAGTCCTGGAACAGCTAATGCATGACATCACAAATGTTCTGAATCACACGTACCTACTTCCTATTTCAATACGCATGCCCATAAAACCGGTTCAATTCGATTCAAACAGACACTATAGACATTTTGTTTTTTTATTTATTATGATTACATCGCCGTTTAGGTTTATGTCTAGATTAGCAAGCGAATATACTTAAGTACGTGTAATGGCTGAATGCAGCGAATGCAGTTTAGCGGCAACCGGGACGCATTCTGTCGGGAGGACGATGAGACACCATTATTTATAGCGTTAGCTGTTACTGGCGCCGCCGGAAGCCGCGGGCATTTACTAGGTCGGAACAAAGAGTAGCAATGTTGTCATTTTGTTGAATTTCGAACAGAACTGAAGTTTTGGCATTATATTTGGATTTCACCGTAGATGGCTATGATCCTAATATCCACCTACTATCAAGTTCGTTTCGTTTTCGCGGACCGATTATTAGATAAGATTGTTAAAATGTTTGGTTAACTGGATTTACTTGAGTTTGTTTTATGTACCCAAACACAAGGTAAAACTCGTAATTTGGAACCGCAGAATATGGACCGTATACTTATTACTTAATGTGGTCCATTATTAATTATACTAAATTGTTTTCGATTAGAATGGATTTCAGAATGAATGTCTCCTGCATTGTCCATAATTATTATTACAAAGCATTTTCGTCAACCATTTGCAAAATTTTTACTGTTTATTTTCTCGTGTACATTTTGTATTCTCCTAAAGCGCTTTCATGAATGAATAAATGAATACCTAGCGTTAAGTCATCTCTAATCTCTAAAAGTTAGCGTGGTATGGACATGTGATGCGTAGAGAGAAGATGCATGTGACTAGGAGATGTATGGAAATGGTAGTGCAAGGAAGGAGGGAAGAGGTCGACCGAAGAAGACATGGATGGAGTGTCTAAATGACGATATGAGAAAGAGAGGAGTGAGTGTTGAGATGACAGCTAATAGAAGAGAATGGAAGAGAAAAATTAGCTGTGCCGACCCCACCTAGTGGGATAAGGTAGAGAAAAAGAAGAAGTCATCTCTAATCCAAGAAGAAAATATGTACTCCGTAATACTTACGTAATTTATATCAAGCTACTATTATGGTTCAATGTCGCATTTTTTTTTGTCATTTTATTACTGCCGAGGTTTTGAATAGTTCACTCATACTTCAGCATTTGAATAATATAATAAATACCGTCTAATTTTCTTTAAAAAAATTCTAGACTTATATTTCATCCTAATTGATTTTTTTAAATAGTAATATGTACATACATATATATTCTAAGGTATTCTGTATTAATTCGGCCCGCAACACTATACCGAGAAGCAATGCCAAATACAAAGTTCATTTCAGTTAACGTGTTTGCAAATAGCCTAGGCGTATCACACGAATAGGTTGCGTTCTAGATACTGAGCATTGACCTAATGAAATACACGAGAAGCCTGGAACTAAAACGAAACTAGGACGACGTTACAACAGAAAATCAAATGTTTTTTTAACGTACATCGTATGTTGTAAATTATCTCGACACGATTTAGCGAAGAAGAATATTTCGTGATTTAACAGCGGCTCTCTTCAGTGTTTATTGCAAATCTGATAATTTTTTTCGAAAGATTTTCCAAGCTACAAAAATTTTTCAGAAAAGTTATTTTAAAGCAAAAGTGAGTACCAACGAACCGTCCTGTCTATAAAGGAAACATAATAATGAACGTAGTCAAAGTCTCAGTAATAAGTTTTATTGTCCTACCTATGCTAGAGTAACCTAGGTCATGCGTAACCGGGCGAGTAGGTGAGCTCACGAGACTCTAACCTGAGAACACAAGCCCTAACAATAGCAGTGCTTCTCAAACTCTACCACCGAATCGCGACCCACTGAGAAGATGAGAAGATCCGATGAGAAACACAATGGGCTTTGTCTAAGGGTTAACTTGATCGCCGAACCCTTCGTTGCAAGCGACGGAATCGACGAGAACGATGACCGGTGATTGAGCTACCTAAAAGTACCGTCAGTGGATCGAGAGGAACCAAAATTACGTCGTAATAAGTAAGCCCCGACAACAACAAATTCAAAAGATAAATATTAAGTTTTTAAAGATTTTATTTAATCGTGGCAGACGGTAATTAAAACATGTTTCATATTTACATGATCCCCGCCCTGTAATGTTATTGGTATCACTCGATCCCATAACGCAGAGATTGTTTCACTCATATTTTACTTCCAACTGTCCAGGAAAAAGGGTACCAAAAATAATGAAATCAAATATTTTGTTCTATTATTTGAAAAAATATATAAGTAATAATTATCATTATATAAAATGCTCAATGACCACGAGCAAGCAATCTCTCGAAGCGCTCTGTATTCAAGACAATTGGTTCCAGATTGAACTGGTGTACTCTACTTCTACGTCAGACGGTACGGCTATAAAACGCATGTTAGACCGTATAAACAAAGAGTTCCTTTTTTATGTTGCAGAACAAACTTTGTTTGCTTTACATCTATCAATGAGACATGACAACGTGACAACCACCTTGGGAGGTCTAGTCTTAATTGTATTGAGTAAAGCCTATCCCACCCTTCAAATACCAGTTGGTGACGAAGAACGCTGCTGCATATCTCTTTTGAACCCCTTAAGTCTTATTTTACCACACCTACAGGAATATACAGTATAGTGGTATTCTAGGACAGATCACACGGCAGCCACTATTATTATTTTCCTGTACCTTATACAAATAAATCACAAAATCCGCTAAAGCAGCGTCTTCGCTCTGCCCTTGGCATTGCTGACCTCCATGAGCGACGGCGACCACTTACCATCAGGTGGGCCGTATGCTCGTCTGCCTACAAAGGCAATAAAAAAAAATAAAAAAAATTATATTACTTAAAGCAAATTGTAAATTTAATCAAATCTACTTAACATTATTGTTTTGCAATGGACGGTAGATCGTAAAATACTCTGAAGCTATTTCGATAATTTTACCTTACATTGTAATGTTTACCCAATTAAAGAATTAAATACGCTAATATATAGTTGCATATAGTTGTTTTTCATCTTACCTCCGAATTGCGTTAGACTATCTGCTCTCAGCCGATACTTTGGTATGTGCTCTTGGAGAAGGCTGACGATCTCTACCTCGGGCACCTCCTCGCTATTGCACACCTCTGTAGACAAAACAAAATATCTAAATACAAAAATGTATTTTCCCTGAGAACTATGGATCACTGGACCTGAATGGTAAATGGTCAACAACCGTACATCTGTAAATTAACAGGAAAACAAGTGGTTGCGTGTCTAGTAATGCGAACTTGATCGCAATGCGGCCTTTCTTGGCGTCTAGAGTAGTTGAACGCGTTTTACAGGACTCGGGCGTCTACATTCCGTGTTTAGTGTAGAGGTACTAGACAGAATCAATAGTTCCCTCCGGCGCGTTGGTCAATAGCTCCAGACGAAGTGCGTGCACTCGGAAAGCATTGACGTAGACAATTCCACATACGTTCCAATAAAATAAAAAAAATTGAAAAGGGACTGATCAAAAAATTTCAAAGGAAAGTATGCTATCGAAATATTTAAAAATTTACTTTAAATTTTTAAGTGAAAAAAAAAACAACACTTTTCCTTGACCCCGTTAAAGTTGGCACTCACATTCGAAGAAGTCTAAAATAACTTTAAGTACAAGATAACTGATATCAATTCACTGAACGTCGCTAATAAAACGCGACACAATTGTTGTTGTTATTGACAACTGTTGATCTTAAAATAACACATACCTAGTATAAATATAATCGTTCGTAAAATATGTAATTAAATCCCAGAAACGTATATAAGATCTTCTCTTCATAGAAGACCCTTTTTACTATCATACTCGTGCTTCTTTTTTTTTTAACTTAACATAAGTTTTTCATTAATAACGTGGGTATTATGATAAACATTAACTCGTGTATTGCCGTTGGATAAAGGCCAACAATCCATACTAAACAGATTTACAATTTGAAATAACGCTGTAGAATCTTAATTCAATTTGAGACGAAATTAGTCAAGAAACGTAAAATTGTGTAATAATTGAATTAACCCAACTTGGCACGAACACGTACATACATCTATAATTTCACCGCTTGTATGATGTAATTAAGGGAAATACTACTATATTCTGTTCACGTTTTTAAATAGTCTTCTTAAGATTCCAATTCGATTAATGTAGATTCCGATGCGTAGGCATATACTAAGAAAACAAATAATACGTGACTTCGACGGAAATGGCCTAAGCCATGGTTGATTAAGCAATAATTAAACATTCCAAAAGGGAGGGCTGATGTAAAGAAAGTCGTATAGGGTTTTAAAAAAAAATGCAGCTGTTTCGTCCATCAAACATCCCAGAGTAGAACACACAAGGAACTATTATTATAGTTCACATGTAGTTCACACTGAAATACATATCTCTATGCACTGATATTTCCAAGACTTTAGCTATTCTTGTCTTTGATTCTTAAAACGTATTTTCTGTGTAAAGTGTGTTAGAACGGTGAAGAAAAAAAAAAACATTTACGTAAGAAACTTTAAAATGGCAATACTTCAATTGGCAATGTTATTGATTTTTTTATACCTTATTTTTGAAGAAACTGGACAATATGATGCAGATATGGATTTTATATAGAAAACTATTCTCTGTTGCCATTCTGCCGGAAGGGCATAGGAAATACGGTAAGCAGTCGACGTCGCCCTAAGCCCGTCATTTCGGATCCTCCCGATCCACTAACGGTGCTTTTAGATATCTTAAGCACAGGTCATCGTTCCCGTCGAACCTGTCACTTATGACGAAGGGCTCGGCGAATAAATTAACCCACAGACACAGCTTCTCGCCGGATCTTCTCGGTGGATCGCGTTTCCGATCCGATGGTAGATTCTGCGAAGCACTGCTCTTGGTAGTGTTAATATTAGCAACTTCATTAGGTTTGAGCCCCGTGAGTCCACCTACTTGTTAGGTTACACTGATATTGCCTCTCAAAGCTTGGACTGTCATCGTTCTCGGCGAACCTACTAGTTCTGTGAATCTAGTATAACCCTCGAAGTTACTAGAATAGGTAGGAAAAAAAAAGATGGGAATTAGTTTAAATAGAATACAGGCAATCCACGTTTCTGATTCACGGAACGTAACTGATTGCGGCAACGTAACTGATTCGCTCGTCACTCACTTATACATACCATTCATATTCACTTATAATAAAACTTTTTTTAAATGTATGTATCAAATATCTAACGGATCAGTGGACCCAAAATTCAAGTTACGAAAAATTTTTTTCTTTTCCATATTCAACAATATGATAAGCTAGCGATTTTTTTTATTATGCTTCGGTTGTATTGTGTAATATATGTTTGGAAAGCATTTTGAACAACTTCGTATAAAATATGCAGATATCAAAAGACTAATAGAATACAATACTTATTTAATTATTATAGCCTAATATCCTGATCAGGACAACCAGTATTAAAAAAACAAAATATTATACCTAATTTAATAATTTATAGTTAAGCTTGTTATTCAAGGATATTTTTGTAGTTCTTAAACAACATTAATTTGTTTATTACTAGCTATCGACAAACGAGCTCGTTGCCCGCATCTTTTTAATCGATTACAGGAATCCATCGACATAACAAAGTAGAAACCTAGAGACAAAAGATTGTAGTTTGGATGCCACCTACCACATAATTTCCATATTAAAATTCATAATTCTATTGTATTTGAATATTTAATTACCTACAGTCCTAAGCTGTCATTCTTATTTTGAAAATACTGGATGTTTAATTTACAGTTAGACGTTTTAATTTTTAACTGACTCACCATTGTTCCAGTCCAACAGCAAATCCTGACGTTTTTCATACAACTCGTCACGACGCCGTGGTCGCGGCCGCGGTCTTTTTTCACTCATATCGTCACATAAGATCGTGATTCAAATAAAAATGTACATTAACTTTTCACTCACATAATTTTCATCACAACAAAAAATTTTGACCAAAGATTTCGTTAAAATTTGCGAACGTGCACTACGAAACGAACTCCCCAATATTGAATTTTGTAATTACCTATACATACATCTGATAACAGATAAAAGTCATAAAGACTGATAGTACTTTTGAAATTATCGTTAGCGTTTAGTGACAGTTTTTGGATAAACCTTAAACAACTACAGCGCTATGTTCTAAAAAGTGTTCTGAAGATACGGAATGCAAATCTCTCCGTTTGGCTCGTTCAGACACGCTATCATTGTGTGATGGTTAATTTTTATTGTTTAATTCAAACATAATATGTTTCTCTCGTGACGCACAATCATTGATCACATGACGATCCATAATCGATATTTATTGATTGCCACGATCGTTATTCTTTATTAAACAAAAGTTTACGTATCAGCGGAAGTAACTAAATTGTATTCAAAAATAGATGAATTTTAAGGATTCTTATCGATCGGTTTAAAGAAGTTATAGTGAAAAGTAACAATGAAAATAACTGTCAACTGCGAAATCGATGTTACAAGAGTCGTCTTCGAATAGTGTGAATATTTACTTAGTTTTACAAATAAAGAATGCCAGTCTATCCGTAACCTTCTACGTAATGGAAATTTTGAACACAGTTGCATCAAGCGCAGCTGGTTGTATAATATCAATGGTAATTCATTACTTTACTTATAATGATAATTGTAAGTATTCATGGAGTGATCAGGTGATTTCCTTCCTTCCTTGCCTTCGACAACAATTAAAAAAACCTGACTGTTACCGAAAGCCTCAAATCAATGACACATTACATTAGACTTATTCAAGCGTGTGACCAATAAAAATACGAATGTCGTCAGCGTTAAGTGTTGGGCTCACAGCCATAGCGGGATCATCTCGCCAACAAAAATTTTAGGTTATACGCTGCCTCAACCAACAGATTCAATTTTTTTGTTACTTATTACAGAGTCGCGGCCTTGTCAATGACGCATCGAACATTGAATAATAGTTTTTACTGACCGAAATGCATTCTCCTTTGAAAAGGCGGCAGCAAAAAAATCAAACGAATTGCGTAACGAATTTAAACTTATAACCTTTTCTTTATTCTTATTAATTTTAATTGTTTTTAAAACAATACAGAACAAATTGTCTTCTTAATAATTGCCGTTCGCGTTCTGAACACAGACATAATGAGGTCGCTTTGTATGCTTATATAAGTTCTGCTATCAAAGAACATTTTATGCTGTGTATATTATATTATTCTTATACTTATTATAGTTTAGTTAAGTACTTTTGTATTCGTTATTGAGTTGCGATTGTTATCAAAACTTTCTACTTACTTTCTTTTTATAATGGCATCAGACGGTTTTATTAATCATGAAAATATCAAATCTAGTTTGAAAATCAAAGCGTATACACAGGTGAAATATAATAATTATATTTTTTATTAAAGCTTGTATTAGACTAAGGTGTATCAATATAGTGTTAATCGTGTATAACATAATACATTTAATTCATTCATAAATAAAGTGGTGTGATGAAAATAATAACAAAAAAAATACTTTAATAAAATTAAGTTTCAAATAAAGAGTTTTAAATTCATTAAAATGTTAAATGTAAAATGAGTTTAAAAACTGTTTACTGTCAAAAACGAGTTTCGATTCTTGTTATTTAATAGAAAATGAACATGAAATATCCGATACATGCCACTCCAATACGCAAATATTGTGGTACCTTTCATTGTTTACGGCTTGCACACTGTACAGGCTGAAGGTCCTCGACCAACAAATTATTTCAATACATACATAATATACTTTGTGTATCTTCCTTGCAATTTGTTGGCTGCAACTATTGTACGTGTCTAATACCTATTTGAATTAAAATAATCATTTTATTTAGCTTTCAGTGATATTTACAATTACATAATGCGATTTTTCTTTCACACAGAATTACTATCGTAAAATCGTTTTGCTATATTGACATATCTGAAATAATGGTACTACAGAACAAAGTCATGTGAAAATAATAATAAAAAAAAACATGGTAACGTAAGATATTTTCTATGATGACGCCGACGGGAGTGCATCGATTTTCTGATAATCCCGCGGGATAGCGTCAGAAGCGGCAGCGCGAGACTGAAGCGTGTGCGCCGCCCGACCTCCAGGAATAACCAAGACCTGGCAAGCAGCCAATCATATGGATGCGTGACCGTATCTCCCATTCATAAACCGAAAGTTTTAAATATACTTTGGAGCCTGTTCGGAAATTCACTATTTATTGTAAGTCCTAAATTTTGGGAATTTAAAAGATGAAATTTTCGGTTCTAAAATCTTATAGAGCACATAATGATTTCAATACATATAACATACCAGTTAGAGTAGCGACGTTGCGAGTTGTACGCGGTGCTAGCGAGGGCGCGCGGTCCACATCCTGAAGGGCCGCCAGCTTGACGAGCTGCCCTATAAAAAAGGCCATTAACCGCTTAAACAAATAAACAATGCGCTTTAATAGCTAAAACAACCAAAAACAAGTGTTGAGCGTGACATTGAGATCTATAGTGGATAATCTAATCGTGAATTTTCAGCTTTGGCAGATAATAAAAGCAAGCATTTATTATGTATTTTTCCACGTTGATAAATAGAAAGTGATTTGATTTTTCGGTGTGACGTTCAAATAAACAGTAGTGACTTACAATTTCAGTTTCACACTCTAGTCAGCGACTGGTTACATTTGTGAAGAAAACCTGCAAGAATAGTGAAGATAAGTACAAGTTGCAATGTTTGCATAATGTTTAACTCAAGAGTATTTTTAGCGGATATCTATTGGGGAGACAAGCTATAATACTAACCAACGTCATTTTGGTGATATAACGTTTATGCCAAATTAGATGAGCATGTTCTGATCTTAAGAGAACTTTTCGATCTTTCGATCATTTTAAGCATTCGGTACGACGTCAATAAAAATGATGGATAACAATTATTAGGACAAATGACTTTCGCCAAAGTTGATGCAAAAATTCGGTGTTTCATTACAGTTTACTTGAATTACATTCTTTCTAACTCAAATCAGCTAGTTCAACTACAGTGCACATACATATTGGCGTAAACACCCGATTGGATTTTCGAAAGCAGAAAAAAAAAATTACCAAGATTAATAATCAAATTAAGTAAGTGTAATGCAAATCTTTTGTTGCGAGCGGTACATTGCTACCAGTTCACAATCATTTTGATTTACTAGAAGAAGATATATTTATGATTCGTTTAAAAATATATTTTCTATAGCTATTAGGATTTTAGTTTATCATTTGTTATTTGAAAAGGGTATCTTTATACTTGCAAGCAAATGAAATTAATTGTAATGTAGACATTAACGGTGTTTTTAGACTTTGGTGTATCCAAGAAACAGTATTAAAAACTACTAAATTTACACTTTCCAGTTTTATTCTCATTAAAGGTATGCTGCACCATTCTTTAAATAAGACTAAATCTTAATTATAAACTAGTCAAATCAAGGTTTCAACCACTTAAGCCAGCCAAACACTGGAGCCACCTCCAAAATCTCTGCCACTAGGAAATTGAGCCCTTTTTTGGGCTTACCTATCACACACTTCAAGTTATCCTGTTTAGTTCTAGTTTTACTTTTGTCTTTACACTATTTTGCAATTATTTATATACATATTTTGTAATTTTGAACGGCTGTGTTTATCATCTAGGATTTTAAAATTAATTAATTTAAATTTTAAGCCAGCTCATAGGAGATTAAGCTAAATAATTAATGATTATCTATCTTTTTTCATTATCAATTGATTTCCTTACTGATCTAGTGTCTAGTTATATGAGTTGTATATGCTACTTATTGGTAAATACATATGCACCTTGTATTGTGCCATTCCAGAAAAAGAAAATAAGTAATGGTTCAGGTATTTTCTGACATAAGTAATAATAAAAAAATTGTTATGAAATTTCAGAAACTTTTTTAACAGCAAACATTTAAGACTAAGGCATATTGTAAGCCTCTGACATTGATAATACTATGTGCAACAGTAAACAGTCACCATCAGTTGGGTCATATTGACAGAAGGAAGTGGAATTGTAGTAAGTTGGAGAAACCGACTTAAAGCCAGAGCCATATAATATATAGTATGTATAATATATAGCCATTTAATAATATGTATAATATATACATTTAATATAATATGGTAAAAAGTGTTTTAGCTCAAAATGCAAGTGACATTTTCGCTTTCTCCCATCTACATATTCATCTGGCGACAAGGTCAAAAAAAAATCCTCCACAAAGACAGTTATCGCCATCCTGTCTATTTGTGACGTGAAGCAGTCATGACATATATTGAGCTCGTCCACCTATCTAAGCAATAAAAAAAAAACTTAATTTGTGTGGAGTAGCCCTTGTACAGTACAATAATCTTCAACATCCTGTTTAGAAAAATGATGACATGCATATTGGGATGTGTATGAACTCTGGTAAAATCCATACACCTTACACTACTTGCACTTACATCCTTACATAGGGAATATTACCAAATTTCAATTTAGATTAAAAGTTCCTAAAATACCAACCTAATAAACTTAGTAAATGAAAACCTTTCTGTTTTTATTTGATTGTTTATTTAACATTTTGACTCCAAAAAGGCCATGTATATAAATATATTTGGTATTTGAATGTAACCACTCTGATGTTATTTAACTGCTCCTAATATGTACCCAAAATACAGTTTGGAGTGATAGTTTTGATTTAAAATTTAGTTTAGTTCAGTTTTGAAAGTGAGAGGTGGAGTATGAAGCAGACATGGCACCTCCTCTTGCAAACAGTCATATTTTTGTTTCAATTTATTAATCAGTTTTATTGTAATCCACAACTAAACTGTGTTATAAGCTTTATGCTATGTTCCTTACATACTTAAATATATATCTCCAAACCCCTAAGCCCAAATATACCTAACTAATAAAAATTCAGACTCTGACCAGGAATAAAGCTTAGCTTTGAATCATAGTGATCAGCATCACTAAATGACCAGTTAATTGACTGCTAAATGTGATTTGGTTATGTTCTTTTGTTTAAGCCTTCTTTACTGTCATGAATGGGTGTTGTGTTTATTCATATTTCATTAATGAAAGCATTTATTAAAGTTACTCCATGTTTAGACAACACGAAAATAGAATGATTACACAACAAACTTGGACCCTCAACAGACCTTCAATGTTAATACCCATTACAAACGGAATATAATAAATACTTACAGACTTTAAACATCACTATAGTGACTGACCGTAGTGCCGTAAAAACCATGAACCACTCGTTACGCTTCAAATTTAATTTAAGATTTTAAACAAACACTGAGCAGGTCTTTTCATTTTAGGATTTAATAACCCACCGTATTTTTTCCAATCTTCTAATATTTCGTTTTCCAACTATTCAGTTCAATTTTTGTCTTTATTTTAATTTTTAGTTGCAATTTAACACACACGGTTCTTTTTTTTAAATCTTTAAAACAGTACATATGTACTCATGACTATAAAATTAAAATATTGACATTAGTGGCTAACTTCAGTTTCAGACGGAGACAAGGCCTCTGGCAGCTATGTATTTTTTAATAGATTTTATGACCTGGTAACTAAGGCTTTTAGGTCAAGTCTATTTTAATGAAAACTTTTTTTAAATGAAAAATCATATTATGAAATGAAATGAAGTTGATTAATATAAAACATGGCATGAACTGAAATGAGATGAGATGATATGGGATGGAATATACAATCTCAGCAAAATTGTGGTCATTTACTGAGACTTTTTCGGTGGACGTTTTGGAGGATCTCGAGAAGTTACGTTCAGCGGCTTTGTTTCATTTTCCCACATTTGTGCACTATCGCAGATACTAAACAATTAATAAATAATAATGATAAACCAACGTCAATACACATTTAAACCTAACGAAACACTAAATAGACAAAATAAAACAAATCAGACGACTTCACTCCTCGCGTTCCCGCCAAAAAGTCGACCACAATATTTCTTTAAAAAGATTTTATGACCTGGTAACTGAAGCTTTTAAGTCATGTCTATTTTAATTTATATTCTTATTTTTAAGAAAAATGATAATATGGAGTGAAATGACATGAAATGGAGATGATTTACTCCACGGCAAAAGAACAACATCGCGTAATAAAAATAAAACCCACAAAATTTTAATTTGCTTAATGGCTAGTGGTAGGACCTCTTGGGAATCCGCACAGATAGGTACCACCACCCTGCTCATTTTCTGCCGTGAAGCAGTAATGCTTTTCCGTTTGAAGGGTGGGGCAGCCGTTGTATGTAAGTATACTGAGACCTTAGAACTAATCATCTCAATGTGGGTGTCGGTATTTACGTTGTAGATGTCTATGGGCTTCGGTAACCACTTAACACTAGTTGGGCTAAGAGCACGTCTACCCAAGTAGGTATGGAATTAAAAACAAATAAAAAAACTTCCACAATGAAGGAAGACCATCGTATAATAAAAATCGAATCCGCTGATAATTTGCATAATTACCGGTACTATACAATCGAGATCTAGACTTCATGTCTCAAAACTTGTGGCGGTATTTACTTAGTAATTGTTGGCTATGGGCTTCGATAACCGCACGCAAGTACATTCGCCCGTATATGCAAAAAAAATTCTTTAAATTTTAAATTCGTGTACTATCTTTGAATAAAAAATTTTCAAACACTAGCTGACCCGGCAGACTACGTAGCGCCTCAATTGATGAATAAAAGACCTAAACTTTTGTATAAAATAAACTTAGAACAAACAAAAGGAATCCGTCCGACGTAGAACACGTCAAAGAAAAAACAAAATTGTTATTTTTATTTAATTCCGAGCATTTTCATATTTATCTACCTTTTAAATCTTCTCTGGACTTCCACAAATAATTCAAGACCAAAATTAGCCAAATCAGTCAAGCCGTTCTCGTGTTTTAGCAAGACTAACGAACAGCAAGTCATTGTTATATATATAGATAAATAGATTGCCAAAAAATATTGTTGGACATTGAGCAATAGTGAAAACCAAACAACATGACAATATTATAAAACTGATATATTTACTATTCTTGGTTCTGTTCCATATAAAGTTTCATAAACATGCTGTAAAAATCCTATCGTAGATATTATTAATAATGCCAGTAAAGTCATAATTACGCAGCACATGTAAAAAATCCAAAAGAACAAAACACCTGCAATAAACATGAACATCAATTTTAATACGTTTGGAACCTCTGGGTTTGCGGAGGGACTTCGGTTCCCTCTGTATTTTGTACCGTACGTTCCATGGGGAGTGCTCTGAGGAATTGTTCGAGATGATACCGGCATCTCGTTTATACCATCGCACCGCCCGCCACCGGAGTAGAGTTCATCCATACTACATGGAGCCACTGCGGTCATCCACAGTGCGTTTCCAGAGGTCTTTTTTGCCACGTACCATCCGGCTATGGAATGAGCTCCCCTCCACGGTGTTTCCCGAGCGCTATGACATGTCCTTTTTCAAACGAGGCCTGTGGAGAGTATTAAGCGGTAGGCAGCGGCTTGGCTCTGCCCCTGGCATTGCTGAAGTCCATGGGCGACGGTTACCACTCACCATCAGGTGGGCCGTATGCTCGTCTGCCTACAAGGGCAATAAAAAATAATAATAATAATAGTACTAGTACTTCGTAATTTATAGAAAAAGTTGTGAAGTTAATTTCTTAATGATTAGATTTTGTTCCTTAAATGAAGCCAGTATCCAATCGTCGTTGTGAACTTCTTGTAAAAATGACGGAAGAATGAAGCTTTATAAGCGTAGGTAGTAGAAAATTGTTCTTAGAATCTCTAAAGATGTGTTACTGTTTTTACACAATATAAGGATTCTGCTAGAGAAGAAACCAAAAAAAAGTATATTAATAATTTTTCCTATGATTGTTTCCTACTTTGAGAATTGCTTGGAGAAAAGGAAGATTCTTAGGAGGAAAAGAGAATCCGAGAAGAATTCCTACTAGCAACGCGAAAGTCCACAAAGTTTGATTAGCTTTTGAAATGATTTTTGCAGCCGCCAATGATATTTTATATGTAAAAAGAAAGAAAGTAAATATTGTATAAAAGAACATTGGCAGCCGCTATTAACGTGACAGTACAATGGTGTCATCCTTTTACTTTATTTCAATGCAATTAATATCTCAATGTCATGAATCTTACTCGTGTCTTGATTAAAAATTAGAAACTCCATAAACCTAAGAGATAGATAGATAGATTAAAAATTATAACGTTCTACAATAAATGGTTCTAATTTTTTTCTTTAAATTTGCCTCCACAATCCTATACCAGACAATACGTCATCCAGTTCTCAAACACAACATACTGTTCACAAAAGTACCGACTCGAACCGGATATTGTACCCCGTTAATAAACCGCTGAATATTTTTCAGGTTACAAACGTCCACTGCTGGACATAGGCCTTCCCAAACCTCGCCACAACGACCAGTTTTGTGCTACCTACATCCCGCGGATTCCAGCGAATCTCAAAGTTGTCAGTCCACCTTGTCTCCCCTCATTCCTGATTTAATGTTGTCGGAAAACTCCGAGCATCACCATCGCCACTGCTATTTGGGTGACATTGAGCTTTCTGATAATGCCCATTCAAAGCGATTACGACATAATGCAATATGTCATCACCGGCAACACACACCGGTCAATGACTTTCGTCTTGAGACAATGTGTGATATTTATGATGTGGCTATCTTTCTAAGGCAGGCTATAGAGTTTTCTAAATAGTATTATAGCCTTGTCTGAATTTTTTTTTTTTTAATTCTTTAATATTCAGTATCTAATATTAGTAGTATAGTAACTCACCTTCTAAAAATACAATTACTAGAAATATAGTTGAGGTCATCAAAATAACAGTTACAGAAAAAAACGTAGATATAAGCAGTAAATTTAATAACCAGGCTGCTATTAAAGTCATAGCCAATGGCTTTCTTAGCAACGATTCGATCAATACCTTTGATGCATTAAGAAATTTTTCCGAAGTCGTGCAATACGAATTGTGCAGTGAACCTGAAAATATAGACGAATAATTATTTTCGTAAATAAAAATAAATGCTGTTGGTGGTTTAAACCACAACACAGATGTGAATAGTATTTTACAAGATCCATTACTTATTAAATTAGGGTTTACGGTTATTTTTTAATGTTCCTACTTACGAAATGACATTTTTACTACTATTAAAAAAGCGGTGTCTTTATTAATTTCCATATTGTTTTAGCAGACAGAATTTCAGCAGTTTTGACATCAATAACTAAATCAAGATTCAATTTACACACAAAGCTGAATAAAATTTAGGGTAGGTAGTTGAAAAATGTTTACGGGTAGGTTAAAAATATTTTTTTACATTTAATCGATTCTACAAATTTTCGGTCCCGGATTCCTATTTTTTTTAAAGGATTTAATGACCTGGTAACTAAGACTTTTAAGTGATATCTTATTTTAATTTATATTCTTATTTTTATGAAAAATGATATTAAGGAGTAATCTATAATCTCTATCTATAATCTCAGTCATTTTACTGAGATTATATTTCATTCCATACCATCTCATCTCATTTCATTTAATTTCACCCCAGTTGATTAATGTCTCAAATTAATCATCTTCATTTCATTTCACTCCATATTGGTTATCATTTTTCATAAAAATAAGAATATAAATTAAAATAAGACCTGACTTAAAGGTTTTAGTTACCAGGTCATGAAATCCCTAAAAAAAATGTCATTAAAGGAGTTGTTGTTTGGGTAAAAATGGTAAGTTTAAATTCAAACTGATCTAAATAAAAAACTAAACTTCTGATTAATATCAATTTAATTGTACAGATTGGCGAACACAATGAAAACATTCTATCTGATATGCTACCCACTTACTATGCCAGGCAATTTCCGCAAAATATATTCTGTAGATGGCTAGCTTGCGGTAGTTCGCCTCAACCGCTCTGTAATAGAGAATTATCATTTACTTTAGCTGACGATGTCTACCTCCGTTATTTGTCGATTTCGCATCAAAAGGATTTACAAACCCTTCTTCAAAAGAAATGTCCACACAAATTGGATGTTGGAGCAGTTTACAACACAAAGTATGTTTTATGACTAAAAGTTTGTATGAAGTTAAAATATCATGCTTGAATATTTAATAAAGTAAATTTCATTTATTAGCATTTAAAAAGCAATATTACACTCTTTTATTGTCACTTGGTATTCTTCCGTTATTTAAGGCCTTCTGTAGGAAGACATGACGCTGTAGTGATATCGCGAGAACTAGTATTCGATATAGATCTAACAGACTATGATGAAATAAGAACATGTTGTCAAGAAGCTAGAGTGTGTGAAAAATGCTGGAAATTTATGGTTATTGCATGTGAAATCATTGATAAAGCTTTAAAAGGTAAATACATGATTTACTTTACTGAGCTACAGACCATAAAAGATTCTTCTATATTTCTATATTTATTTACCACACCACACTCATTAAAATGTAACCTATCTCATGCATACTTGGGGTGGCGAAAAAAAACTACAAAACCATATGTCCAGCAGAGGATGTTTGTGGGCCAATAGAAAAAAAAAGAAAACCAAAACATATTTACACTCCAGTAGTTAGTTATTTATATATTTAAACTAGTGAATGGATTTTGACTTCACCTATCCACAACTATAGTATTATTTTCATGATACAAGTGATTCATGATTCTTATAATTGACAAAATGATTGATTGAATTCAAATTCACAACCTTGACTTACTAATTTCAGATGACTTCGGGTTCCAAAGCATCCTGTGGGTATTTTCAGGTCGGCGTGGTATTCACTGTTGGGTATCTGATTATGAAGCCAGAACTCTCGATAGTCCAGGTCGAGGAGCTATTGCCGATTACCTTTGTTTAATCGTAGGTGGGGAAAACCAAAGTAAAAAAGTGCATCTTGGCAATGAAAACTTACATTCCAGTATAAGGTTATATGATTTTTTACAATCTGATGTTGTTACATGAGATTTACATAAATATTTTCTGAAAATGATCATCTAGTTGATAATAATTTTGTTAATTACCTCTTGCAAAATTAAAATTACTTTTATGATTTGATCTATGTACCCATCCAAAGATTAATAAGAAAATCGTGTTATTTTCCTTCATTTTCTGCTGGAGCATATTACCAGAGTTTTGACCAGTAAAAATCATTGCTATGGCTATATTGGGAAAAGTTGCCAAAAGTGATTGTGATGTAATACTGTATTAATATTGGTTACATGTGAAAATAATTTACATTGGTCATGCTAATCAGAATTTAGAATGCTTAGAATGTTACCTTGATATAATGTCACATATCAAGATCAGGACTAGATTTGACACAAAGTTCCTTTTATATACATACCTTTATATACTTTACTAGTGTATACAGTAAGACATCACCCCCAAACTTATAATTTTAATACTGCTGTCCTTTCATTTTCATTAATAAACTTTTACACTTTATAATTTTATATTACATATAACTTATATAACACTCCCTTGAGGAAGTTACGCATTCCCTTGTATATTTACATGTTTCATGTTCAATATATTCATCTGATATTCAATTTCCTAAGGAGAATGAGTTAGGCATTAAGTTTACTAATATATAAAATACATGAAGTGTAACTAATAAATAAATTAAAAATAGTATATTTAAATACTTGTTCCAGGCGTGCCTTAAATATAATAGACAAATACTTTGAACAATTATTACAAGATCAGGAATTTTTAGCAACAGATAAGCTAAACTCATTTTTGAAGTTGATACTAGATGATGCGTTAAAATCACAGGTTGAAACAACTTTGAAAAAAATGCAGGAACCATCATTGAATAAGTGGAACACTTTTATAAATATTTATGAAAATTATTGCAGAGAGGTAAAAAATAATAAAATTTTTACATAAAGAAAAATTTGTTACTTCATTAAAAATGAGAAATTCATTGAAAATTCGTTGGCATTGGTTTTTTAAACTGCTTAAATTTTTTTCCAAGGATACAGTTCAAGATCAACCTACATATTAAAAGTTGTGTCCTAAAAAATATGCATATATATGTATGACTCTATTTTGTCATGTTTTTCAATTTGTAGAATGGAAATGTTATACGAAAAATAAAATATCTTATAGAAGAAATAAAAATTCAATATTGCTACCCCAGATTAGATGTTAATGTGACAAAAGGTTTCAATCACTTGCTCAAGTCTCCATTCAGTATACATCCGNTACATATTAAAAGTTGTGTCCTAAAAAATATGCATATATATGTATGACTCTATTTTGTCATGTTTTTCAATTTGTAGAATGGAAATGTTATACGAAAAATAAAATATCTTATAGAAGAAATAAAAATTCAATATTGCTACCCCAGATTAGATGTTAATGTGACAAAAGGTTTCAATCACTTGCTCAAGTCTCCATTCAGTATACATCCGAAAACTGGAAAAGTGTCTGTTGTTTTCAAGTCAGCAAATGCAAAGAATTTGAAGATCGATGAAATACCAACAATATACAGTTTATTAGATGATAGTGTCGCCGAAAATAACCAACATGAAACTAATATGAAAGCGGCTGTTAAAATTTTCCAAGAACTTGTATTCGCTTTGGAGAAAACTGAAGCTATGAGAAAACGCAGTGATGCCAGTAAGACTATTTTAGTTTTTGTTATCTTGTTTATGTCTACTACTACTACTGAGCTGGCGCTATCACCACTGGCGCTGTCACACCAGCGGTACTTGGGCCTCCCTACGGGGCGGCGTCCCTCCGGTACACCCGTTTCACAGCCCGATCCTGCTCCATACGTACTACATGTCCGAACCATCCGAGCCTCCGTGCCTTCATCTCCCCCAGAATATTTCGCTCACCAAAAAGCCTCTCCACATCCTTATTTTTCCGGACGTGCCAAGAACCGTCTTCTTTCCGAACTGGTCCTAGTATTTTTCTCAATACCTTTCGCTCAATACCTTTGTTTCGGAGCGAAAGGTTGTTAATGTCTAAACTGAAATAATAACCAGAGTAAATGTTAAATGTGTTTAAATGGAACTTGTCTAAAGAACTCTTTATAATTATTATTTTTGTTGCAGATACATCATTGGATTTTTAAATCAATGAACATGTGATTCTCAAATAAAGTTTAATAATGAAAATATGTAATTGGTTGGCTGATGTTTTTTTTCTGTATGTAAGGGTGAACGATCTTACGGTCTACTTGCTGTTAAATGGTAAATGTAGGTTGCATAATGGCCTTCCCTTAATCCAAACAGAAGCATAAGTATGCAGAAATGAGTTGGGCTTTTTACATCTTATTGACTTATTTGAAGGTACTCACAGTCTACCTGATCGTAAGGTAAATTTCATTGCTTATGGTAATAGTTAATGCACAGGAGCAATGTGACTGTTTCTTATCACGTTTCAAACCTTTAGCATGCCTATACATGGCGCATAAGTGGAGAATAAAGTCTTTGTAGGCATCCCCTACTGTTTTTCGTTACAAAGGGGAATTCAATTATGGATTCCTGGTTGATGGGGAATCAGACCGGGTTAAGTCGGACTCCGGTGCCTTCGAAGGACTGCGTCTTAAGAAAGGAGCATTAGACAGCGTGAACCGTACAACTGCCCCAATAGAATGGCTACCGATTAAACCCTAATGAAAACTCACTCGACGCCAGAAACAGAACTCTGGCAAGGTAAGGGGAGATTCCACTGTCAACACTGGCGTACCACTGCCTGCAAAAACGCCGCGAGGATCAAACACTGAACTTCGACCACTATACGAAAGGGTGAGCACAGGTTATACATTGCATATGCGACTCTGAAGTTTGCCAGTATACCCAGCCCACTGAGTTTCTCGCCGGATCTTCTCAGTGGGTCGCGTTTCCGATCCAGTGGTAGATTCTGCGAAGCACGGCTTTTGCTAGGGTTCGTGTTAGCAACGTCGTCAGGTTTGAGCCCCGTGAGCTCACCTAGCCACGGTTACGCTGGAATAGCCGCTCCAGGCTACCAGGTTAGGTAGGAAAAAAAAAAGCGAGTATACCATGGTTTTCCTTTCGTCCGGACCAGAGATAGAACCGGTAGAGTTTATTTTATCTCAATGAGAATGTTTCAGTGGACATTCAAATTGAAATATATATTTACTACTTTCATACATTTCATATTTATGATAGGTTTTCCTTTTAAAAAGTTACAGATTAATTTAGGTTTTGGATAGCTAAAACTTATATTTGACGAGTATAGTCATCCACAACTGGATGAAGTACAATAAAACAAAGTTCTCAGCGCTGAGAGTGTACCATACGCACCATCTCGAATACGATACATCCCATTCGCTTAATGTTCACGCGACTAATTGTGTGATACGAAAACAGTAAAACAAAATGATAACTAAAACCTAAAATATGTCGCTGGGACATCTGTGGGCTGAAAGAGAGACAAGAGATAACTAGTAGTTCAGAATTACCTACATAATCGTTGCTCAAACACTTGTAGTGATATTATGTACTTTAAACAAATCTACTTGAAAGTAAGTACGTACGTAGATATTTAACAATTATTAAATGTTTGTATAAATTAATAAATATAATGTTTTCAAATAGTGTATACAAACTATATACATATTTGAAGTTAAATAACGGGCATTAGAGTTACCAACTTATACAATTTAAATAACTAAAATTCTTATCACTACCTATCTAATACTTATCACTATCCACTTTATTTATTTACTAATTTTAGTTTTTTTTTTTTTTTATTGCTTGGTTGTGTGGACGAGCTCACAGCCCACCTGATGTTAAGTGGTTACTGGAGCCCATAAACATCTACAACGTAATATGCGCCACACACCTTGAGATATAGTTCTAAGGTCTCGTATAGTCACAACGGCTGCCCCTCCCTTCAAACCGAAACGCATTACTGCTTCACGGCAGAAATAGGCGGGGTGGTGGTACCTACCCGTGCGGACTCACAAGAGGTCCTACCACCAGTAATTACGCAAATTATAATTTTGCGGGTTTGATTTTTATTACGCGATGTATTTTATTATAATTCACACGATTATTCCTTCACCGTGAAAATAAGTCCTGAACATTTGTTAAATACAGCTCGACCAAGCTAAGTTTGCACCTCGCTGGAAAGCGGCGCCCCGCTCGCTTCTCCGCTCACCTTCCCGCGATCGCCTTGTCGCGTCAGTACGGTTAGCATATTTTTCGCCGACACGCGTCATACGAGTTTTCGTCTCCCTATCCCTTGAATTTAAAATTTTTTAACTGTTCTTGTTAGGTTTTTTGTTGAAGTTTGTTATATTATTGGACTGTTTTTGTTAAGTTTTTGTTGTACTGTTGTTACTGAACGGTTAACTTTCATTTTTGGATTGGATAATTGGTATCTGTCGGCGGGATTCGAGCACCGATGCATCGCTACATACGAATGTACCGGAAGTCTTATCTTTTAGGCCACGACGACGAGACGACGACGAGGCCCATGCTGTAAATGGACTGCTACTCGAGCATCGTAGTGACCTATTCGATTTTATAGATTAGTTGATACGTAGAAAAAAAGTTAATTAATGTTTCCTCTTTCAGCGATGAGGGAAGCGTCAATAGATTTAAAAAATTAAAACTAATGATAAAATTACTGTCTCAGATACTGGTATAGTTCTTGCAAAGTACGACAGCGCGCCGCCCTTATTTGTGTGAGTGACCAATCTGTATACGCGTCAATGTAGGCCAGTGATTCTCAACCTTTTTTTTGTTGCGGCACATATTTAACGATTTCAAAATTTGGCGGCACACAAAAAAAAAAGATAAAAATTATTTGCTTACTGCAACACACTGCATAAATAGATTATCAAAAAAATTTTATATACGAAATAAACTAAAATATACTATAATTCTTTTTTGTGGGCTTAAATATATATTCATGTTTAAAATATTTTTCTTTTAAAATGATATAATTTAATAATATTAACATTATTATAATTAATTATATTCTCAAAATTTGGCGGCACACAAAAGTGCCGCGGAACAGTGGTTGAGAATCACTGATGTAGGCTATAGGTAGCTTTTTTCCTACATATGCTGATAGCCTTGAGAGGCTATTTCAGCTCGCCTTGACGTGTAGGTGAGGTCACGGGGCTCAAACCGGAGTGTTGCTAACACTGGCCTTAGCAAGAGCAGTGCTTCGCAGAATCTACCACCGGATCTGAAACGCAACCAACTAAGAAGATCCGGCGAGAAACTCAGTGGGCTGTGTCTATGGGTTAATTTACTCGTCGAGCCCTTCGTCGCAAGCGAAGGGTATAAGCGCCGTTAGTGGATCGGGAGGATCCGTAATGACGTGCTTAGAGCGACGTGGACTGTTTACCATTCGGTCCAGAGGATCGAGTATGCTGTAGCTAATGTAGCTACTGACCACTCCGTCGGTACACATTCTAACGAAAATGTGTATTTACGATTACAACTACAAATAAAGACCACGCGCGCTGGTACTTTGCAAAAACTATTGTACGACATAACGACGTAACGTAACGTAACGACGTAAGATCGGAAAAGAATGAACGTGAGTTTTTGGAAATGCAAAATAAAATCGGCATTGTGAAATACTCGAGCGTTTCAGATTATAATAGAAGATAAAACTATAGAAAGTTATTTAGAAAATAAGATTATAGAAAGTTCAGCGTAAGAACCTTTTAATTTATGATTGCTTAAAAACCGACGTTTTTTGAAGAGTAATCTGGCAGCTAGATTATTTTTGTGTTAAATAATAATAATAAATATTAAACACAATTTTTTATTCGTAAAACCAATTTTAAAGAACAAGAAAGCCGAGTGCATAGAACAGTACGCGTTGTATACTACAGCTGCACGTTCACATCTGAATTGTGGTAATCGGTAGATTACATATTTTTTGCTATCTGTGCAATTGGTTCTTGTAAAGAATAAAAAAAAGAACGCTCGAGAACATCAAAAGAGTATCAACTTTTTTGTTGTATCATCTATATAATCTTCCCACTCCATTACGTCTAAACGCATTTTACACACATTTTAAATTCTTATTTAACATAAATTTCCTTAATCTGACGTGGTTTAGTATTTCTGACGATTGAATCTTTTACTAATCTGATAGGCTACACTAGACGTACAGTCCTACATTTTAGAACTTAAAGAAACATTACACTTACAGAACACTTAAAGAAACATAGAAACATTTTAGAACTTTAAAGTAACGGTACTTGGCGGAATGCAAGGTATCTTCGTTTTAGTTAATCTACCGCTTGTGCTTGTGCTGAAATTGTCCTTTATCTTAAAAATCAACACCTAATTTTAAAAATAAGGTGTATTGTATAAATAAAGTCATATCTTTTAATTCTTTAATTAATTGTTTACGTTTTCAATTTTGCCGCCTATAAAATGTTGCCACCCTAAGCCACGGTCTCGGGGTCTTACGCCTACAAGTCTAAATCCGTGAATAATTCTTAAACCAAATGATTTTTTTTCTGCCTAAGCTGATAGCCTTGAGGGGCTATTTTAGCGTAACCTTAACTAGTAGGTGAGCTCACGGGGCTCAAACCTGACGACGTTCCTAACACGAACCCTAGCAAGAGCCGTGCTTCGTGCTTCGCAGAATCTACCATAGCATCGGAAACGCGACCCACCGAGAAGATCCGGCGAGAAACTCAGATACAAATGAAACGTAGATACATAGTAGTTGTTTTTTCTTAGGAAGTATTTTTTTTTTATCTCGTAATTAAAGATGCTCTCATTAAAGGAAAAACAAATATAAACACTGCACATACTTTATTCTCTCATTTAAATTTATTGGATGGAATGCAAACCGTTGCGGCTTTATCCTAGACTTAGTAAAATAATAAAAACACAACAAAATAAATATTTGGTTGAGCGGGTGTATAGTGTACAGCAACCAGTAACTTTGATTCCTACACGAATGGATAAGACAATAGACACGTCAATTCGAATTGTCAAAAAAACGCAGCTTTCAAGAAATCTGTTTTACAGAAGATATTGTGGAATTCCATTAACATTATTTTTTATAAACAATGGATACTTATGAAAGTGTTATTTTAGTGAAGAACGAAGTATTCGTTTTTAAAATACCACCCAGAACATCTAACAGAGGATACAGGTATGTATTCGTTCATAAAATTATTTAATTTTAATACGGTAGATTATACGATAAAAGTGGGTGTTTATAGGGCAGCAGATTGGAACTTGCAAGAGCCACAATGGACAGGTCGCATGAGGTTGGTGTCAAAAGGGAACGAGTTGGTCATGAAGTTAGAGGATAAAACAAGTGGCGAATTATTTGCGAAGTGCCCAATAGATAAATATCCAGGAGTTGCACTGGAAGCTGTAACTGATAGCTCACGATATTTTGTTGTGAAAATACAAGATGATAATGGTAAGAAATTAGAAAAGTTGAATAAGTGTTTTTTTCATTATGATATGAAATAATGGTGGTTGATATAAATTTCAGGTTGTGCTGCATATATCGGTCTTGGATTTGGTGATAGATCTGATTCGTTTGATCTAAATGTTGCACTTCAAGACCATTTCAAATGGTTGAAAAAAGAACAAGAGAGCGATCAAACACCACAGGGACAATTGGATCTTGGATTTAAAGATGGTGAAACAATTAAAATCAACATGAAAATTACTGTAAGCATTGGAAACAATAATTGTAGTTTGAAATTTTTTATCAGTATGTAGATAATGAGTAATAACATTCCGGTTTAGATCTGAATCATCATCATCAAGTTGAATAATCTCATCGTTCATAAAAACATTTTTTCTTAATAACATTGTACAATAATTTAAAAACTCAACCAATTCTTGACTGCCTGCTTATAATTGTAGTAGGTATATACACTTAATTGACTAACATTTTGTATAGATATATACTATTATTATATACTTATATTATTATACTATAAACTACTTGTGTTACTGCAATGCTGTAAACAACCCATGTTATCATTATCGTACTGCAAAGCAATCAGGAATTTCAGTTTGAATCTTTAGATGGTAGTAAATATAATGCAATAAATGCTGATGTAATGTTACAAGATTGGCTCATGTATTCAACTTGTGGTAGCTCTGGTAACTGTGTGAGATTAGGTATGCTTGTTTTACCCATTAATGCTAAAAGATAACACAAAAGATCGGCTTTGGCCGAAATGAAATCTTACTCTAAAAATCTAAAAAAGTACTAAGTATACTATAAAATCTTACTAATATTTCAGAAAAAAGATGGGAGTGAGGGCAGCAGGTCACGCCGTGGTGTGCCAGGTGCTAGTGGTGGTGGTTTGTTGCCACCACCTCCAGGCGGTTCTAAGTTACCACCTCCACCATCACCACAACATGCTGCTTCACCATCATCAATCCCACCTGCCAGCTCTAACACAGAGTGGGGTGAATTTAATTCAGCAAGGTAAAATAAACTGATTCTTAAAAAAAAACCTTAATGTTCTCTTTACTAATTTACAATTTTTTCCAGTGCTCCAGAACCACAAGCAACAACCCCAGCCAATCAACAAAATTGGGTGCAGTTCTGAATTGCTGATGGCATAATATTATTGTGATTTGGTGACATCATAGATGCTGTGGTGTGTTTGCACAATACTTAAAACTATACTTAATTATGTAAGACTTATCAGTAGCTTAAAAATCTATATCTAGATATTAGTTGCATAAGATCAGATTTGCAAATAACAGATATGTGTCTTTGTCTTAAGTATTCAACAAAATATTTTCAGTATAGGATCTATTTATTGAAAGAAATTTGTTACTTAAACTGATTATGTCCTCCGCCCTGAGTTACTTTCCTGTGTGAGGGTTGTGACCATTTTCTCCCATTATCCTTCTCTGGATGATGTTTCGCCATCTTCTGTTCTCGGCGGTGTGTATGGCATCGTAGATTGTGGTATCCAGAGTGGTGCGGATTTGGTCGGACCAGCGCATTGGATTGCGGCCATGAAATCTTTTGCCTGCAAACTGGTCATGGATGTTCCTGTAAAATGTTAGAGATTTTGCGATTTGAAAAGCTGAAAAATGGATGTCATGTTTCTTCTTAACCCCATATCTTATTCTTCTAATGTCAAGTTATTGTTTCACTTAATATAATTATAGGGTATGGTATGTCATAAATTGACATCAATGTTTGAGAGTTAAAAATTGTGAATTATTTAGGCCAGATCACAATAAGTATACAAATGCAATAATATAATGTAACTTAATTATGTTGTTTGTATATGTTGTATTGCATATATTTATGATTAGATTATTGATCTTGTGATTATTAGTCTCATTTATCAATGTTGTTACTGTTATAAAATGCATGTGATAGGTTATGTAAATAGAAGTCTTGTGAATTTGCGAATAGAAAAATATGTAATCTGTTTGAATTGTTTAATTGTTGAACTGAAGATCTGTAACACAGGTTACTCTAGAAATGTACAAATGATAATAAAATTATTGAGTAAGCATAATATAAAATTCGTATTTTTTTTAAGTTTTATTTGTTAGTTAATAATATTGATATCTTGTTTTAGATACTACTACATTTTTCTTGACTGGGAATGTTATGAATTTGTGGAAACACAGTTTTAAATGTTAAATAGTGTATATGTGAAGTCTTGGACTAAAGGACTAAAGTTATAAAATTTACTGATGGTGGTAAGGCGTCTTGTGGAGTCGCTAGAGTAGGTAACAACACCCTGCCTATTTCTGCCGTGAAGCAGTAATGCGTTTCGGTTTGAAGGGCGGGACAGCCGTTGTACCTAACTATACTGAGACCTTAGAACTTATATCCGAAGGTGGGTGGCACTTTTACGTTGTAAATGTCTATGGGCTCCAGTAACCACTTAACATCAGGTGGCCTGTGAGCTCGTCCACCCATATAAGCATTAAAAAAAAAATAGCGACGGGCTGGTGATTTATCGAGTCCCGACCTGGCAAGCTGGCTCTGCTCCAGAAGAGTATTCCGGGACACCAGCGGCACCGTCTAGGCGGTCTGACAGGCTGCCGTATCGAGACGGCAACTCGAAATTCATCAAGGTTTGAGATAGGGTTCTATAAGTTGGTAGTTTTCAACAAACCCTAATATGAAAAGTTGGTATATCTACCACCCATACTTTTCAAGTCTTTTAGAGACCCTCCAATAAGAATCTGGCATCCTTAATTTACTTTTCAATAAGATTAACGCCGCCATGATGTTATTTTTTAATTTTTTTACTAAACCGCCATGATATGACCTGTACATCAACCTGTAACGCCCTCTATTTTCGAGTAAATTCGACGAATCCATCAAAGGGTAAAAAAGCAAGAGAAAGGTTACGAAAAATAAAAAAATTATAGTTTCAATATTATTTTCATGGAGTTCATTTGGACTTTTTGAAAACTTCAAAAGTTGGTAGATTTTTGCTGCAAAGTGGTAGGTTTGATTACGACACTAGAAGTTGGTAGAGTTGGCATCTGAACTTCAGATCCTTCGATTCGCCTGGAAGACTGAAGACTCCCTCGAGTTGTAGTGCTGACTGGGTTAACCACCTTACCCCGCTCGGGTTCTGATCTAGGGAGGGATAGGACGCTTGGGCGAGACTGCAGGGTAGTCGTTTAGTGGGTAGGGCCTTCTATTCCATCGTTTTTGTACGTGGTCTTCTCTCAACTTCTGCGACCCTCCAGTCTCATATACCCCGCGCGCCTCCTAGTCTGGAGACGTGGGAGGAGGTTCGGTCTCCGGCTCAAAAAAAAGGTTTACTTGTATAGAATGATGATCGATGTTCAAACACCGCAAGCAGGTACCAATTTTTCTAATGAAATAGGTACGTATTTAGCTTTAGCTCACGTTTACGAATGACTTCCCAAACAGTAACTTTGTCAAATAAAGCCCATAAAAATACCAGCGCTAAAGTGTTTTGTGAACCCGCAAGATTTTTACCACCGCCCAGACCACCTTACTTAATTATTTACTGGTGGTAGGACCTCGTGTGAATCTGTGCGGGTAGGTACCATCGCCTTGCCTATTTCTGCCGTGAAGCAGTAATGCGTTTCGGTTTGAAGGGTAAGGCAGCCGTTGTAACTATACTGAGATCTTAGAACTTATATCTCAAGGTGGGTGGCGCGTTTACGTTGTAGATGTCTATGGGCTCCAGTAACCACTTAACACCAGGTGGGCTGAGGGCCCGTCCAGACAGCAATAAAAAAAAGCATCAGTAAGTTCTTTGGCTTTTCCTTATCCGGTTCCGTTCACGTTGTTATTTACGACATTCCGGGCGAATTTGTGTCGTTTCTGGGTCCATCTGTATCGTGTCATTTTGTGTAAGCACTTTGCATAGAGAATAGAACTAAGGAGTACACAAGGTTCATAATTCATAAGGAGTAAAAAGCAAGTTATTGTTCGAAGACTCACCGAAATAGCGCTACTGTAGAAAGTGAAAATTATATGAAATTACCAGTTTTAAACCGAGTGAAATGTGCTGGGTTGCAGTGTATAGGTGTGTGTTTGTATAGCCGCGAAGGCCATGTTCCTATATACACTGCGAGCACTCTTCAATGCTCTTATTGGGGTGAAATTCGTTCCGTTAAGGGCTGAAAGTATACGTATATTTTATAGAAAGTATAAGTATAGTATATATAGTCCCAGGAGGTTTTTTTATTGCCCTTGTATGCAAGTATGCTAGGGACATACCTATTCGGCGTCATAAATTGTTGCCAATTTTCTACTGTACCGAACACTGTTCTTTTCGAAGTAAGATAAGTGAAGTGTTTTTTGTTGAAGTGAATACAACGCCAAAAAACGTCGATGACTGTATATAGCTAACTATAAAGGAACGGCTTCGCTGTATACTGGATTGAAATCACACCTTATAGTGCTCGCAGTGCAAAATGGGACATAGCCGAAGTGTGGTGGTTTATGGCGTTGTTTTTAAAGTCTTTCTACTTGCTACTATGGCGCCACTTTAATTAGTTCCCGTTCAGTGGACACTTTTTAATAAACTGAGAAGGTACTCCTTAGTTTTACCCTCTATAGTAGGTACTTACTGTACGTGCAGGTACGCGGCGGGCGGTAAAAGAGGCCTTTTGCCTTCTTTGATGTCTAGAATTTGACGGGTCACAGGTTTTTCGTACCGAAGTATCTATTGACACCATAGACCTATATAGTAGGGACACGACATATTGTTCTATACGTACAATTGCTTATATAAATAGCACCCATTTTGAAGGCACACACATAAACATATATCTATCTCGTTCTTACTCAGCACTTTAACTCGCAGGAAAACAATATAACAGTATTTCAGTGCGTACATAAAATGAAACATGAATATACGTAAATGTCTCCGTCTCCGTCTAATGAGGCCGAAAATCCGCCATGTTTAGCGCGCCAAATGTCATTGTCACGTCAGTTCGGCCGTCTGTTTTGGGTTGTACATTATTTATTGACTTTGATATCGATTTAATATGATTGCTTATATAAAGTTTCTAATTTTATCATGCTTAAAACATACAAAAATAATAATTACAACATATTTTATAGGATCTCAAGAAAGTCGATGCCCCAAAACTATTATCTATATATATTTAAATTCATTATGGAGCCCTCATCCGAAAGATAGATTATACACTTAGGTAATATATTTGAATCCGAAATATCGGACACCATTTTTCGGTCGGAATCTATTCATCATGACACTAATCATAAATACCTTTTTAAAATATGTCATCAAAACATATTTAGACATTCTGTTTAGATATTTCGGGAAAAAGGCAAAATCTCTTCGGAACTATTTAAATAAAATAGTTTTATTCCGCAGTGAGTAAAACACTAGTGATTTTAGAGAGGAAGTCACAAGGAATGACGTTTGTAATTTCATTAACGAATAAATGTTCTGTAGGTGTTTTTTTTTATCAGGCGGTCTCTTGATAAGTTTAACATTTGCGTGCGGTGCGGTAGTGCGGTGCACCTTCCTTGAGGTGCGCTGCGGTAGTGTGTTACGGACTTTAGGTCAGCAAAACAATTAAAATAGATTGTAATAGTCTAAGAAAAACACGTACTCAAAATATGATAACATTCAGCATGCTAGAAATGGGCTGATGGCACTGTACTATACCATATCTTTATGTTTTGCGGCAAACGACAACTTTATAAAATCAGTGTAGCAAATTTAAAAAATCGTCATATCGTTTACTTGGCAAATTTGAAGCACGAACTCGTCTTAGATTTCACATAATATCTAAATCACATCATCTTTGCACATAACAATATACTTACTCCTATTAAAGTATAAATTCTACAAAAACATTAATACTCAACAATATTTAAAATAAAATAAGCCAAGAACGTTTATCGATAAAACCTACTAACATAAAAATCTTCTGGGCAGCACTAAAGCCGCCATGTTTTGTGGCCAGATGACGTCACAGTGGCACGAAATTTTTGTTGACGTTTCATTTCCATAGGTTTCCTACTTCAGTGATTGACACCCCCGCACAATTAATCATTATATATTATATAGATATACGGTAACATTATTACAGATACACAATATTTATTTTTATTATTGCCTTCGAAGGTGGGGTTCAAACAATATTTATGACATGTTATCTATAATTACATTTAAGAGGGTAGATGATTCTGGCGACTAATTTTTCGAAATAGCAGGTACCTAATAAAATGTGTTCACTAACTACTGACTGGAAGACTGAGGGTATTTACAGCGCTTAAACGTTGGGCGCTTTGAAAGGCGCGATTTACTAACGCGCGTTTTGAGATTCCAAAGCTCTTATTTTGACGTGTCCACATGCAAACGCGCGCTCTCACAAATCCGTTGGAACGCGCGTTGCGCGGGCGTTAGCTACGCGCTTGTAGATACATTTACTGTACATTTGATCGCGCGCTTTCGTGTAGGGTGCACGTGTATTATGGACATCGAACACTTCGATACAGATTTACTTATAGGGGTCATACACAAATAGAGAACAAAAAAGTGCAGCAAAAAATATCTCAGAATCAGTGTGAAACAAACTATTTATTATTTAACTATTGATTATCAATCTTTTAATCACTGTAACCGAGATCAATATATCTTATTTTTGGCATAATCGTAATTTTTATATTTTTGCGGACCACAGAAGAGACGATTTAGTCTACAAGAGAGATGAAAAGCTCTGATGCAGCGTAAGCTAAAATATATTAAGACAACATAATCAAACACGTGTAGCCACTGGTATAAACGGATAGCGAAACGCAAATAAAATGTCAACATAATCACATTAATTGGAAAATAAAAAATAAAATAATAATGTCTACAGAAAGGAAAATCCCTTCGGTGGACTTTGAAACAAAACAAAATTTCGAATGATAATAATTTTACAGCCATGGAACCAGAATTTTAATATGCAATGTAATGAAATTTAAGGACTTTGATTATTTCAAAATATTTCCAGAGAACTATCAGAATCGTCTGAATCCTGTAAAGGAATTAATGGCC